TAAGTAAAAAAATTAGCATTCATACAGTTGAAGCAATCATTCTACGATAATCAGTACAGTAATGCATACGATAAAACAAAAAAAAAAAGAAAGAAAGCAATACCTTTTATAATTATATTTCGATTAATTGTAGCATAAAACTCGATTAATTATAGCATAAAACAATTGGGAAAGCATAGATTGTTTTAGTGATAAATGTTGGTAATGTTAACAGACATGACGATAAATGATATTATCTTAATTGTTTGATATACAGAATGCAGATAGAAAGGTGAAGTATTACATTATCGGATCGGGACATCTCAACTGCGAGCAGTGAAATGATTTAGGATTCGAAGGGAGAGAAAGGGTGATACATGTGACGATTGTGTGAACTTGTCATGTGTAGATATCGGTGACACTTTTTTCTCTTCATTGATGCTTTATTCTTCATCTGTTTTCATATGTCTAAATTTTCCTCATGCTTTTAATATTTAATCTTCCATCAAATAACTTCTTATCCATCTCTAATTATTCTATTTCCATAAAATGTAACAAAATTTCATAAGTGTAGTTTTGGAATAACATTATTCAGATGGATAGATGGCTAAATCTAATAACTGTCATCATCTGTCATTTCATTTCATTTTTTTTTCTTGAGAGTTAAATAAAATATTTTACTTTTTCATATCAGACGAATACAATCGAGAGATTCTTTCGTTCTTGCAAATTTTCTTGTTATTTTAACAGGTCAATTCAGGTTGCACCATCACCCTGTAGTCGCCGAATACATTCAATGCAACGCAAGCCTCCATTAGAAGCAGATACGAATTTCCATAAGCAACAAGCTCAAGCTCGAATAAATGTCGCCAGGGTATGATCTTTGCGCTACTATGATATTGAATTTCATAATTCACGCTAAATAGTTTGAACTTAAAATAGCTCTGTAAAAATTACCAAAATTTAAGTAAAAAGAAAAAATCTTCAAGTTTGTCAATATTTCTTTAAGAGAAAAAAAAGGAAAAGATTATGCAAAGGTATGAAATTTTTATTGAAAGGATGCAGTAAGAAAAAAATTTTATGACTTTGTCAAATTTCTTTTAAATTTTAGTACTAATGATTAAATGTAGGTCAGGAATGATGCACATCAAAATTTTGTCAAAGTATCAGGATGACTTTTTTTTGTTCAAAATATAATATCTGAGTTAAATTTATATAAATCAATTGATTTTTCAGAATTTCACATAAAACTTCATCTAAACCAATACTTGAAAGTATATTTTAATTTAAATTTCATTTCTTTCTTTTTTTTTGTAGGTTAAATTTTCATTACTGATACTAGCGCTAATGTCCATCTTATCAATCCTTTTCGCATTCACATCACTCTTGAGCTTGCTTTCTATTCAATGGAGAACGACTACAACGGAATCATCGGACATAGCCGCCGACAATTCACTGATGGTGCGTAACGCGATGTATGAAATTGCCAGTTCATTATCCATGATCGCCGTGACAACATCTATTTCCACCTTCCTTCTATCTACCTTGCAGCTTTTTTTCGCCCTCAAAATGCTAAAAACAAATCCGACATCTATTAGAAGGTCAACTAAGTTCTGTTCTTTAACGTTGACAATTAATGGCAATTTCAAATTATCCAATTCGATGTTGGAAATTTTTTGAAAATCCCAACACTATTTCTACTTTTAATTTCTCTGTCTATTTAAATAAAATGATTTCCAACCTAATTACTTAACTACTCATTATCTATTCAATGCTTTGCTTACATTACTTACTTTTTAATAACTTGCTAATTTACCTTTTTACCTATTTTCTTAAGATTTGAGGAAATGCATACTTTCAGTGTTGAAAATTTAATTCCTCCTCCCAACTATTCATTTTCAATTCTGTGACTTTTCAAATTAAATTCCTTTATTCGATATTTCAATTTTAGTTTCTCTGCCTCAATGATTTTACCCGATAATTTAGAACAATATTGAGTAACATACAGAAGACGGATATCGCAAAATTTTCCGCTTCATTTCCCTCAATTTTCCGGTCGGTTGTTCAATAATAGATACCATAAATTGCCTTAATAAATAGTCGCAGTTTCATAATTCCGGATACAACATGAATCATTGGTAAAGTATAGTAGTAGGGAAGAGTAATTGGAGAGCAGTACTAACGGACTTTACAACCTGAAATAATCCTTTATTGCGAATGAAATTTGAGAAGCTTAAGAAATCTTATCTATTTATGAGTGATCATTTCCTGGCAGAACAATTGCAATAACAGATTAGGATTAAATCTGTTTAAATCATAGAATCAAAGCTAAATATGCTTTATTAATTTAGTAAATTACTAATAAACCCCTTTAATGACTAATCTTTAATGATTTAATGATTAATGATTTAATGATTAAAATATCCACTTGCCTTTGTTTTTTCCGTTTCATGATTTCAACGTAAATTCAAATTTTTTTTAACCTTAAATTTGTCAATCTAATTTACAGCTTTTTTTTGTCCACTTTTCAGGGTACTATCATTTTTAAGTGGTGGACGTCTTCTACGTTGTATTGTTTATGCAGCGTGGTTTTTTGCGGTACTTTTCTTTATCACCGGTAAGCAATTATTAATGAAACTTGAATCATAGGTAAACAATTATTAATGAAACCTGAATCACAGGTAAACAATTGCTAATGAAACTTAAATCACAGGTAAGCACTTAAATGCAAAAAAAACTGAGAAGGAAATTGTGGAAGTAAATGTGATGAATTAAGCATATTGTAATAACTTTTTTATGATTTTCAGAAGTGATTTCTAATCTTCAAATATAGACCATATTGACTGATTTTTTTTTTCTATAAAATGTAAATTACTGATAGTTATTATTGAGAAGTCGTGAGAATAAAAGCAATTCTAGCGTTTGTTTTACTTTCAGGTAGCATATTACAATGGATGCTCTTACCAGGACGAGTTGGTACCATATCACGAGGTGTTGGCGCAGCATTTGGTATTGCGTCAACTGCGCTTTGCACTGCAGGTCTCATACACTGCATTTACGCATGGTGCTGCAATGATGATAAAGAAATCCAAGAAAGCTATATGAATGGTAATTTGTCAACATTAGTGTAGTATGACACGTAATTATATTATTTTTTTACCAATTCGGGAACATTAAGTGAAATTGACTTTCGGAACTTTCACAGAAAATATCATTGTAGAAAATATCTTCGAAGATCAAAATATTATATTCAGGTTCAAAGGTCATGATCTAATGGAGTTTTCATAAAATACTGCTTTGTTTTAGGCGTATTAATGTACATATTGTGCTGCATTGATATTGTTTTTTTTTAAATATTTTTCCATGCTACTTATCCATACTTTCTTGCCATACTTGTATTTATATGTATTTTTGTCTATGTTTAATGTATTGCAGTCGAGTCAGTACTACTCTCAATTATCCTAAACAATATATATTTTGCATACTTATACTTCAACAAAAGATAGTAATAATTAAAATTTAGATAATTCTCAGGAACTAAACAGAAATCCAAATTTTTTTCGAAAATTTATCTTTTATTTAACAAAAGATAAAAATGCTAACTAAAAGGTTTCATTTTTCGATTAGTTTGCTTAGAAAATCACATTCTTTTTCAACCAACTAATAATTGGGAACAAAATATTTCGGAACAATGTTGTTGCAGAAATTTTTCAGAATTATTCATAAACGGTATTTATATCAAATGAATATTTAACCTTTTGGGTTACAAAAAACACACATTGAGAAGGACAGGAGACAACAAGAATTACCATGGCTGGGAATGTCTAAAAATATAGATGACCCGCAGCGCAATAGTTACTTGACCATATTTAAATGTCACCCGAAATTTAGCACTGATTTATATTCTTCCTTTTTTTGACATTATATAATATCATTGTAGTTTAATTAAGCGAATTGGTTCAGAGTAATTTAAGCAAAATAAATTTAATCAATTTAATGAACCAAAATAGGTTTAATAAGCAAAATAAGTTCAATGCCACTTGAGCAAGCAACGAATTCCAATGCAATTCATGTGAGCAATATTTGCTGTTAATGCAATTTTTGCAGTAGCTTATGCAATTTAAGTAAGCAAATAAATTCAAGGTAATTTAGATGGAAACATTGGGTTCAATGCAATTTAAGTGAGCAAATAATTTATTTGTTTAAAATAAGTTGAACGAGTAAGTTTATATGAAAATGACATAATAACTGATCAAAGGATAGTATTCAGCTTAAACTTAAATTAATTTAATCTCATTTCATTATTAGAATATGGTAAGGAAGCAAAGAGCAATAAAAACTGATTTATGATTGGCCATGTGTGTTCTCAACAATATTAAAGGATGAGTTATAATTATGGGAATTTCCTACGAATAATTAAGGTCAATAATGTATCAATGTGTTTAGCTGTGAAAGTTACATTTATTCTCATTAATTACGAAGCATTCAATTATTATTCAACCATCCCAAGTGGAAATATTATTCCAAATGGAAGCTTATCGGATTTATTCATTATGATGATTAAATGGATAAATGGATCGAAATGCGGAAGAATGAGAAAAAGGAGATGAGAGATAAGAATTTATAACATCAGTTGTACTTAATTAACGATAAGTAATTTGAGAATGATGAGAATTGAATGATTCTGATTTGACAATGATGAGAAATAGACGATAGGTGAAGTATTGGGAAAGGGAAGATGTGCTCATCAAATAGAATGAATGCTTCAAGTCAATGAGATTATTTTTAATTTGATGATGGAACTTAAAATTATCGATTAAGCGGTCTATCTGATGATGGAACATAAAATTATCGATTAAGCGGTCTATCACAATTAACTGATTTGTTTCCTCTTTGGCGAGTCTTAAATCTAAGTAATACTACAATGATTTTAACGTAATATCCAACTGTAGTAATATAAATAACGGGAACAAGCTTTCTCATGGTTGTCTTTTATGAATTTCATCTTCTTCAGCGATAGTAACCTTAGCAGATGAATGAACTTTGAACGATAGAAAGATAGGCAAAAAAAAAAAACCAAACCTTTCAGCATTCCCGGAAGCACTTTAATGGTACTGAACTGCTAAAAATTTGGATAAATGAAACGAAAGGACATATAAAATTTCAACGTCTTATACATAATTTTCCATCATATCATGTCATTTTCCATCTTTTAAATTTCCAAATCACACTTTTACCTGAAAACTGAAAGAGCATACTGATTTTGAACTTCAATAAAATTACCTTATAACCTGATTAATAACGTTATAGAAATAACCTGATTAATTATGGTGTAATAATATTCCATGTAAAATTGTTCGAATTTGACAATTATTACAATTCGTTGGCAAAATTTTACCTCTCCAAATTGCAACATTAGCAGCTTCAGCATTATGCAAATAATGATTTAAAAAACAATTTGACTTGGAAACTAATGGAGGAATACTGAAATAGACCACAAAAACAGTAAAATCCTATCGCTAAAGTAGTAATTTTTAGTCAGTATCTTTCAAGCGAAATTAGCAAAACGGTACAGTGATGAGTTAATTAATCATCGTATGCAAATGTAAATGTAATGTAGGGTTTCAAGAATCACTATTCGTCTCTTCCCTGAATTCAAAGATATCGAAGTGTTCTGTCAAGAAATGCAGCATAACGACAAAATTGGTAAGTTGAATGATTGTAGCAGGGATTTTTAGACTATTTAAATTATTAGAATCCAAATCGGCAGAAACTCTAACTACCAGTATTCACTCCATTGTTTAACAAATTCCAAAATCCAATACTTCAAGACTTCAAATGACTTATTGTTCTATAAAAATATATAAATTCAATTCTAGAATCATTTAGCACGTGATCGTTTCGCCGAAACTTCGTTCTTCCTATTTCTTTTTTAAAATTCAGCAATTCTCATATGGTACATGGACGTTTAAGCAGCAATCGTTAATGCTTATTGGCCACGACCTTCCATTTTCGATAAAATTAAAGAAAGCCGTAAGATTCATGAAGCAGAAAACTGACATGATGAAGTTTTATGATTAAAGACAAAAAAAGCAATCATTACTACCCTTCAACATTCCACACCAGTAAACAATAATGTAAAAAAAAAAAAAAAAAAAAAAAAAAAAAACTAACCCGAAACTCCAATAACAGGCATGTTACAATAACATGCATATTTGCAATAGCAAATATAATATTGCTGTAGTGGTGAACAACGCTAATATATTTTATTTAAAAGATGTAAACCTGGATCACAAGAAAAATGACTAAGTATAAAAAGGTGACTAAATATTTCTAAATGCTCGAATTTAAGCAGCATTCCGCAAAATATCCTCGAATTTCTTGAACTGTGAGCTTATACTCATATCGATGAACTTGTCACCAATACTCACCATCATGCCACCAAGGATACTCGGTTTCACGGTCATCTGAATTTGCAAATTCTGTCCAGGCTTTGCAAATTTGTTCAATGCTTCCTTTAATGCCGCTTCATGTTTCTTGCTGAGCTGCTAAAAATGAAATATTTTAAGCCTAAATAGTGACAAGAATGAATGCCAGAACTAAATCATTTCACTGGTATTCAAGACAGTCAACTTCAAGAACAGTATTTCTTGATTTGAACGACGATCATACCAACTGATGATGGTATTAAAAATTCTTAGTTCCACATGATTCAAGCTTGATTTTTTTCTCCAAGTTAAAAAAAGAGATTACCCCTCACTTTTCTCGCTCTTCAAGAAAATAACATTAAATTACTGGTAAAAAAGTGAGACCACCACAAGCAGTCTTACCTCAGCAGTAATTACTTCGACAACCAACTCACCGCGATGCGCTCGCATGATCGAATCGAACAGTTTTATAATCTCCTCAAGGAGATTTAGCCGTCCATTTTCCGCTAATAACGCTAAAAACAAACAACTGCATAATCCGAAAGCAAACAGATATTTAAGATAATGCATAAAAATATTGAGATAAAAATAAAAAAATGAATGTTTAAGTTTTTGTTATCGCAATTTCAAGAATAACAATACACGACGGCGCGGATAGAAAAAGAAAGAAATCCGCAAATGAAGAGTAAGTAACGGAAGTTCTATCCTTCTTTGCTTTTTTTTTGGATAATAAGAAAAAGTGATATGTTCTTTATCAGGAAAAAAACATATCACAAAAAATTTCTTTTTTTAAATGTATTTTTTGAAACTTTTTTCACTTCTTTTTTTCCTTTCTTTTTAAAATATTTCAATGAACCAATTAAGAAAATAACAAACAAATTTCCTTATTTCAATTTGTTCCTTTTTTCGTAAATTGATAGAAATTTGAAAATTTTTCAAAAAAAGGA